TGGTTTTGATCAATTTTTCATTCATTTGTAGTAATTGTAACAAGTCGTTGTTCGAAAGAATATTCATGAATATTTCTCTATGATTATCGAGCTTTCTCTTTTTACATAAGAGTTGATCACGATATTTTTCAATCCTATTGTTTTTTTTTTCGTCGATCTCGTCAATCTTTTCTTTCAACAGTCTTTCGTGCTCATCGATTTTTGCACGTATAAATACAAATACTTCAGTGACTTTATATTTGTCAATGTGTTCATTCGAATTGATCATTTGTTGAGCATTATTGAAAGCTTCCTTAAAAGATGATTGCGCATTTTCAAACTTATCCTTCAACTAAATTCCACAAAAAATTGTCTCATGAAATAAACGCATCACAATTAAATACTGACCTTCTTTTCAACGCTTTCTACAATATCAACAATGACTACAACATAGTGGAGATGATGATCAACCAACTGGCAGGCGCGACAGACTTGTTTCTTACATACATAACACCAGTACTCTGCTTTTTCAGCTTTATGTTTCTTACATTGCTTTGGTTTCCATGATTTTTGCTCGATGGGAACCTTTCCATGTGTGCTAAAATCTGGTTTGGCGTGGACAGTATTGCTGCATTTCAGACAATAACTCTTATTGCATTCCTTGCACCAAATTTCAGTTTTGGTAGAACATTTCTTGGAGCATCTTTTGGGAGCTATAAGCAGAGACAAGGAGAGGTCAAATGTGAATATCTAACTACATATGACTATTTAAAAGAATGAATGAAAATTCCCAAGGAATAGAGAAGATGAAGATTCTTCTAATGATATGAATGGATTTATGCATGCTTTTCGAATCCATCGATGATATCTAGACCTTTTATTCCCTCGACTATATCGAGAGTCGTATGAAATAAAATGCGTTTGTTTGTGAGAGGTCAAAAAACATGTATAAGATGTTAACTTATTTTGAAGCTTTTCCGTCTTTTTATGGAACTTTGCTATAGGCTACCGAAGGCGATGATACCCACTCTGAAGCTGATTTTTCAAAATTTTTAGTTTGATTGTTTTGGTCAGGGAAACGCTTTTTTGTGGAAAGAAAGATATTTTATAAAGGTTCACGGATGTAAATCTGGGTTGGAGAATCCGAATCTGAAGTCGATTTTTCATACGAGCTTCTATTGTTCAAAAAGTGAACCAATCAGAAATTAGATTTTTATTTTAAGGCCTTTTTATCTTTTGATGAAACATTGCTATAGGCCATCGAAGACAAAGAATTCTGCTCTAAGGTTGAATTATCTATTTGACCCTTCATTGGTCAGAAAATGGATCAATCAGATCGGAGGTATTTTTCGATTTTTTCGACATTCCTATGTGACTCTGAGAGAGCTTATCGAGTTCAAATACTGGAACCGGAAGTTGGATTTCCAGATTTTTTTTTGTGAATGGCTTTTTCCATTGAAGGGACGGTCATATGAAATAAAATGTATTTCTGTGTTCCTTTGTAGCCACCCATACGATCCTGGCCATGTCAACACAAGTTGTTTTCCTTAAGTTTGACTAAAAGAAAGCACAGTCTAGGAATGTGAGACTCATCAGTTTTTCATTCAAAATTTTGAGTTCTGTTCATTTTTCGTTAAGGAAAGTTATTTTCAGGATACTAATACCCTAAACGTAAAAGAGAGTTACGTAGCAAAAAATAAGTACTTTCTTATGCAAGTATGTTTATTTGCAGTAATGTGTAAGGTGAGCAAAGGGCTCACATTTTTGGGTGGGTGTCGGTGTGGGTGTGGGTGGGTGTTACTGCAGATGAACCAGAGATGAAGACCCACACCCTCGATACGGATTTTAGTCTTTTATCCAAACAAATCTATCAATAAGCAACTATAAAAAACAAAAGCATCTTCGAAAACTTATTGTCAAATTCTGTTTTGCAGATTTTTCTGCTGATCGTTTTCGTAGAAAATCTTTTTCTATTTATATTAGAAAATAACAATACTATGATCGAAATATTAGTAAAAACTGTATCGTTTCGATTAGTGCTATATCAGGTTTTCCAGCATTTTCACCCTAGTATCGGCATTACTTCATAAAAAGAGAATTTTTTTGCAGTCAAACTGATCAACACAAAGAGCTCTACAAAATAGGATTTGGCAATACATCTTCGAATACATTTGCTTGTTTTTGCTGAATATCCGTAGAAGTACTTTATCGAACGTTAACCGTATTCATGAATGTTTCCAGGGCTTTTCTTTGCAAGAACACGTGAGAGGATCCTGTGAAGTTCCTAAGAAATCAGATATGCTAGAGAAAACTTAAGAATCCAAATAAGCTGTTACAAAAATGAGAAAATATAAAAACATAAGGAATTTGCATCCTAATACAGAAACCACAAATCTATTGTTTATCTTTAGCAGAGTTGTGACTTTTCTCTTTCAAATGAATAATAATAATTTTAAGCAATGTTATTAAAATTTTCGCTGATGAATAAAAACTTGGAAGTTTTCTCTAGCATCAAGAAAAAAAATCCATTGATTTGCTCTGAGTACAATGCAAATACACAATTTTCTTCTTGGTAGATGATTTTTTGAACATCCTGTAAATGTTAACAAAACATATTTTCAATTGACTATTTATACAAGATGTTTCAAAACCTTTACGTCCGCCTGGTTCGATCTTAAGGTCAAATGATTTCATTAAGTATTTGATACCAAATTAAAGCCCGTAAAAAACTGCAGATATTAATACTAAATGGTAAAGGACCTGAAGACCTATTAATGTCGATCTTCTGAGATTTTCAGAATTTTGACACCTATCTGACGTAGAAAAGTAAAGTGCCGGTAATTCCAAAACGAAATAAAACGTTTTTCTTAGATATTTTTACATAATTCGATAGATCTCGATAAGCTCTACAAAACTAGATACTTCAAAAATATATTGAGCCATCTTTTCCAGATAAAAGTTCAAAAACTGCTGGAAAATCACAACAAATATTTGAAAACTTTACTTTTTTCATATGGAAGAAAAATACTTGATTTTTCAATAAAATTAAGTTTTATTCATAATTTTTGCTGTCTCAAACGTTTCGAAATGTGCTCATTCGATGCAGTTTTTCACGCGACATCGAATGAACATATTTCAAAATGTCTGATCTAACATAACTAATGAAAAAAAACTAATGTTATTGATAAAATTGTATGTTTTTTTTTTCAGATAGAAAAAAAAGCTGAATTTTTTTACATTATTCTGGGATTTTTCGTGTTGTTTTTTGAATTTTTAACACAAAATGATGGCTCAAAATATTTTTGAAGTATCTAGTTTTGTAGAGCTTATCGAGATCTATCGAATCATATAAAAATATCTAAGAAAAACGTTTTATTTCGTTTTGGAATTACCGGCACCTTACTTTTCTACATCAGATAGGTGTCAAAATTCTGAAAATCTCGGAAGATCGACATTAATAGGTCTCCATAACCTCTACGATTTAGTTTTTTACGGGCTTTAATTTGGTATCAAATACTTAATGAAATCATTTGACCTTAAGATCGAACCAGGCGGGCGTAAAGGTTTTGAATCACCCTGTATATATATGATAAAATCGCTATAATAGACCCTAAGAATCTGTATCAAAGACAAGAATTTTCATTTGAATTTCTGGCCAAGTGCTCTTGTGGGAGAGCGACGATTGGGTATAGTGAATAGTCAATTAGTCGCTACGACAATTCGACGTATTAGAAATTGGTCGCTAGCTTATTATCGACAAAAAGAGAATGTAATAATAATGTTACTCATGATGTTATTGGCTTATGAAAGCATATCGACTTTTAATTAAATTTTAATTAGCTTAGAACGATATGAGAATGAGTATGGAGGGCAAACACAAACAGATACGGTAAAGAGTACGCGATATATAGTTAGTACGTAATCGAATTAGCTAACCGTGTACAAATATTTCTAAAAGGAGAAAAATCACCTGTCATTTTCTCAATTCATGGCGTCTATCACTATTTCTCAAGGGAGAAACAGCTGACTTCAGTCCCTTAGAGTCAAGTGGAGTCAGGCGAAGTCACAAAGAATCTCGTAAATTTCTGTCTATCTTCAGAAATCCATTATAAAAATTTGAGTCCGCTATTTGTGTGTACTCAAAAAGTGAGTACACTCTAGAATCGGTCAATGTGTCCGTCCGGCCGTTTACGCGATAAGTTTCGAAAGAAGAGTTCGATCTTGATAAAATTTTCTAGACAGTATCGTCTCCTCAATGTCTCAGTTGAGTTCGAAGATGAGAATGATTCGTGGAGCCATTGCTGAGTTATCGCGAAAAGACTCATTTTTCCCTCTACTTTTGTATGCGATAATTTGGGAACTCAAAGGATGTGGATAGGTGTGGATGTGGGTAGGAGTGGAAAGTTGCCGTTGTCTTCCCAGGTAACTGGTATCGGTTTGGTAGCCGTCTACCCATCTTCAGCCCCGAGCCCTAGCATCCTCAAGTCCTATTTGTGAAAAAAATTCTTTTTAATTGTAGAAACAGACTTTTTGAGAAAAAATAATATTTTTCGAAAATACGATAAGCTATCCTCTCACATATGTTTTTTTTTACCCCAAGCAAGCAACCAAGCAAGCAAACAGACATTTTATTTCGTATGACCCTCCCTACAGTTGAGCGAATTAAGAAACACGAAGGCTAAGTCACCTATTGCAAAGATACTTAAACGAATATTGCTTCTGTGTTTTTACTTTTTGAAGTACACATAACATTCGGATTTAAATCCGAGGTTTCCACATTTATTTTTATAATACTAAGAACTTCATACAAGAGTGGAGTCAAGTGGAGTCATGGAGTCAGCTGTTTCCCCCTTGCTATTTTTACAACCGAAAAAAATAAACCTCTGTTAATTTTTAATGGTTTTAATTATACAACTGATAAATCTAAGGATAGCAAAGCTTATTGGAAATGTGAATGTTGTCGAGCAATTAAATGCAAAGGACAAATACACACAGATGCTAATTTTACCACTATTTTAAATATGAATGATGTGTATAATCATCCTGGAATACCTGCAACCACTGAAGTGCGATTATTCCAAGAGAAAATACGTTTTCGTGCCGTTAGTACTAATGAAAATACTCAAAGTGTTGTCGACAACTGTTTAAAAGATGTATCAGATCAAACGGTCGCTCGACTTCCAAATTTTAAATACATTAAAAGAAACATTCAAAGACAACGTCAAAGAAATACTTTACCTCAAATTCGAAAAGATGAACACTGTTCAACAATTCAAACACTTTTATCAAATACTATTAGACACAACAAATTCTTACAATTTGAGTCAGGACCTGATGATAGTCGTTTAGTTATATTTGCATCAATAGAATAATTAAAAATACTTGAAGATACTCAAGAAATATTTATAGACGGTACATTTAAGCTACGTATATTATTTCAATTCTAACTTGTTTGACAAAGAAAATAAGTAGGACTTTCATGTATTTTTAGGTAACACCAACTATATTTACTCAGTTATATACTATATATGGTGTTCACCGAAACCATGCATTTCCTTTAGTTCTTGCACTACTTGCTGATAAACAACAGAAAATTTAGCAAATATTAGTTGATGAATTATGTCATTTATGCCCTTTATGGAGATCTAAAACAATCATGGTGGATTTCGAAAAAGTGGCAATAAATGCTTTTCAAGATACTTTTAATACGACAATAGACTCGGTAAAAATATCAGATTGTTTCTTCCATCTTCAAAACAGTATTTTACGAAAAGTTCAGATGAATAACATTTTTTCTGAATTTCACTTAATTTTTCCGATATTTTAGGAACTCGGATTCAAAAGTAATTATGAAAATGATTCAAAATTTGCTTATGATGTTAACAAGATTGCTGCTTTAGCATTTCTTCCATCTGTTGATGTTTATCAATGGTTTGACGAATTTTATTTATCTTTACCACCAATTTTAGAATTAATCATGGATTATTTTGAAGATATTTATGTCGGGAGACGATGACCAAATGGACGCGCAACTCCGATATTTCCTGTAAAACTATGGAACATGCATCAAAGAACTATCAATGATTCAGTGCGCACCAACAATCTGGCCGAAGTATGGCATCGAAGATTCAACTCTGTTATTCAATGTGAGCATCCATCTCTTTGGATTTTTATTCAAAGTCTTCAAAAAGAAGAAAACTATATTCATTGTCAACTTGTAAAACTTAACGCTGGTCACGATACACTTCACAGTAAAAAAAAATATTTAGATTATAGTAAACGCTTGAAGAACTTGCTACTTTCTCTACATTCGACATTTCTTACTCAATTAGAAGGGCTAGCTATAAATTTATAAATGTATTCTATTAGTAGTTTATGGTAATTTACTTTCTATTTTGTGTTTTGTTCGGTTTTTGTCATAAATGTGTGATCTTATTCTTATTTAATAAATTCTATCTTACAATTTATATGTGCGACCAATTTTTTTGTACGACTGATTTTCGTATTGACCAAGTGTCGTGGCGACCAATCGACTGTGCTCAAATATCGTTCGACTAATTGTCGTAGACCCGCCCTTATATGTGACACTCAAAAACGAGATGTTCATGATTTATCTGGTTAAAAAAAATCTTCTGAAGTTACAATGACTAAGGCATTGAAATTGTTCGCATCTTCAATCTAACAAAAACCATGAATTGATATTGGGCAGTATAGATAATTTTATGTAATTATTCTAAATTGATTTTGCTCTCACAATGACAATAATATTAAGAAATTTCAAATCTGTAGATCTGGAAAAAACACAAACAATGAATGACATACAAACAACTCTGAAACTGCTTTAAAAACGAAAAACAATAGTTCAGTTATTTTATATAATCAATAGAAAACAGACATCAGTTTATTCAATACTGCGTATCATCTAATAATTCTAAAGCACTTTCGTTGAGCATAAATGGAATTAAATCTTTGTATTTGTCTACTGATATTAATGCAAGTTTCTGCGAGAGAGAAGAGTAACAGCACACTTTATATTTTATTTTCAGTAAAGAAAAGCCCTTAAAAGATGGTAGCAGCGTTCGTTATAATTTCTATTGGTGTTCAGATATTTTTTCATTATCTCTTACGTACCAATTTATAATCGTTTTTCTTCATCTCAGAATAGAAAAAAACTGTCCCTTTAAAATCATTATTTTTTGGAAGCGATTTTTAAACAAAAGGAAGGTCATGTAGAAGTTTTGAAAAAAAAACTCATCTTGAAACATAGAGTGTTCTAATTATGTTTCAGCCGCACCTGATTTTTGTTCCTACAAGATAATTTCTACTCATTATCTTTGATGTGAAATTTCCATAACTTACGAAATTCCAGTACTTTACAGTGCATATGGTTATGATCCTTCATTTTTGTCAAAAATTCTTTGACTACGATACTCTTCAAGAAATAAATATGTAAGACAAGAGTGAACTAACTAAATATTCGACATCAGGTCTGATAGCAGAAAAAGTCTAAGGTGAAATGTTACTTAGAATAGTATCATCATTGTTTATCGGGAGAGAACCTGTTTGCTGTGGCGCCGGTCAGTACATGGCAAAACGAAATGATGCGTCATCGCGCACAACACGAGCAAAAAGGTCGATAAATTAAATTTTTTTGAACGAGAATACTATCGTATATTAAACGACGTAACATACTTATTTTCTGTGGCACCGGTATTGACTTTGGAATAATTGCAACTGGTTCGGGTTGAGATGACTCTGATGCATCTGAAAGAAGAAAAACAGTGTTACTGTCATTTGATTGAGTTCATACTGTCGACATGAAGTCGCTACTGTTCAGTGACTACTACTCTACGATCAATCCAATTTGAGGCTGAGGAAGAGAAACAATCTCATTCGGTGATACATTTCATCTCAATTTCACTTACAGCAGATCACTTATACTTACAACAAGTCGACACATTCTCTCTTTGTTATTGACTTTCATGTTTCAAGGGAATAAGAACAAATACCTTTGCGTTTTGACTACGTTGCAGTTATTGATGTTGCTAAGAAGTTGTCTCATGAGTCTGATATTTTTCCTGCGATTTTGTTTAGCTGTATTCTTGGACTGAAAATCAGTCTCACTCAGCATTCTTGAATTCAATTGTTAGAGTTCCCTATCCATATTGGCTAGCCACAGGCTTACTAAGAGAGTTAGGTTGAATTGTTACTCAAAGTTCAATAATTAGATACATTGGTGTTCGTAGATCCAACTTTTGACTGCAATTTATTTTCGACACATTTTTTTGTGTCAATCACCTTCACATGACATTTAAGGTAATTTATGCACTGAAGAGCATGGTATATGAACGAAATATACGGCTGGTTTTAGAGAATCACGTTACAATAGATTTACCGCTTAGAATGATCGTTTTAGCCTGAGATTTACAAAAATGAATGGTTCAGATGAGAAATACTTCTGATAAAAGTTTCAGCCTAATATATACAACTAGACAACATTTCCAGCTTATGTATATTCTATTTATAGCCTAAAACTGAATCTTTATAATTTTCTTAATGCGAACTCTATAGATTTCGGAGTATTTTCAAATTAAAGCCGATATCAGTGCGCAGCTTTTCATCGGACGCAATTTCGAAATTCACTTCCATTCAGTTTTAAGACCATTTTAGTACACATGGTGTTAAAACCAGTCAAAATAAATGTCGCGCCACGACAGTATGACTCCCTATTTTCGACACAGGCAGTAATTATAAAAACTCTGCTGGATGAAAAGTTTACTCGTATCGAAACCTTTAAAAAAAAGCAAATATTGGTGATAGGCTAAACCGGTTAGCAGTATTTTCAATTTAAGTAATGAAAGATCGTGTTCTGAAGAAAACGAGTAATAATTTTAGAAATGAATATTTTGATTCAAATCCAGAGAAAAAACACAATAAAGTGACATTTACAAAATAAATGTAAGTGGAATATATTTAATCACCTAATAAATCATGTAAACTGCTATCATCGGTCACACCAAAATAAATATAATGATTTATTCGATGCTGATGCAAAGAAAAGGGCAATATTCCAAAAATTTAAATACCACAAAAATCTCGAAAATATTTTGACATAATATAGTAATAGGGTTGAAGTTTGTTCCGAAAATACATTGAAACTTAATCATTCTACGAAAAGCTATACAAATATTGAAAGAGGAAATTTCATTACGTCTTTCTATGATAAAAGTTTAACGTGGAACTTTTCAAAAAAATGAATAGTTTTTCTAAGACGAGTTTTAAGCAATTTTCTATTATTTATCATATTAATCGTACTTAAGATTCACATAGTTTCTTTGTAGCAAGTCATGACTACCAGTTCTTATCTTGTTCCGTGCTATCCGATCAACAAAGTAGTGTGCTCTATACACTATTTTTCATTTTTCTGTATAAATACATCCTCAGTGTCGCTTGAATATTTCTATGATTATAAATCCTCCTCCCGCCCCCTCAAAAATTGATCTCAGCCCAGGATCATTCATATGAGATGAAACTTTCAGAATATGCTGGCGGTGGGAAGAGGAGACTACCACAAAACTTTCAGCCCGAAATTTTCAGGTTTCAGAGAGATATGAACCAAACAAGGGTAAAAATGACTCCTTTGGCATTTCGAATATTTCGATCCTGGTCCGTTTAATCTATTAATTATTTTTGTTGGAAAGAGCATCTGAAGACACAGGGCATACAGAGGCCGTTATTTTTTTAAATAGTCCTTTTTTAAGTATAAAAAATGAATCACAAGTTCAATGACTGAAAAAAGTGTCAAAAAATGTTAACAAAATCATATAACTGGCTGTATATTGACCAAGCAAAGGCTTAATTTTAAAAAAACGGCCTCTATGTTCTCTGCGCTCTGAGATGCTCTTTCAAACAAAAAAAATTAATACATTCAACAAACCGGGAAGGAGAAGTTTTTGGATATGCTTTTGAGAAAGTGGAAACTGGGAAAAAACGAAAAGCATTTTCGGTATTTTGTAAAAACAACTGGTTCTTCGAATAGGGGTGACGGAATCTTCGAAATTTCTTAGGAAAAAATGGATATTGGATAAAAAATTTTATGTTTTCTGAGAGACCAGATCACGGGTTATCTTCCCATGCATTTATCTCAATTTCGACCATTCTGATCAAAAGTGATTTTTGGAGGGGGGGGGGGGGGTAAGTGTACATTGAAAGTGTTTTGCTTGGAGACGTCATTATCAGAACTTATGTAAAGATTAACAGCAACGCAAAATATATTTTTATAATTGCGATATGGATATGACATGAAACGTTGACTAAGCAATAAGATTGTTTCATTTCCATCGAGAGGTAGATAGTTGAGCTCATACAAACTTTATAATCATCAAGACTATCATTTTAATTACAATGATATCTCATTTTTGTTTAATAAAATTATCCTTAATTAATGTTGGTCATAGTTGAGTGTTTTTGACAACTCTCATTTTTCAATCTAAGATGAGCTCATGTTGCTGTAACATAAATAAAAATTTGAATCATTTTGTTTATTAATCGTACATATTGCCATTAAAAGAAGAAATCTTACAGAGCAGTGTGTCTGCATGCCTAATTTCTGTCCAATAATTTTTCGACAGCTTTGCTTAATTATTTCATGTGTAGATACTTTTCTACTTTTCAGAAAACCTTCATTCGACTGTTAATACAAACTCTTAACAATACAAAGCAATTTAGATACGTCCAATAAGGTACAGCTAAACAGAAATGCAATAAATTAATCTATTCAGTTTTCAAAATTGTTTTTTGTGTACTCAAAAAGTGAGTACACTACTAAAATCGGTCTGTGTGTCCGTCCGGCCGTCCGTATACACGATAACTTTCGAAAGGAGAGTCAGATCGCGATGAAATTTTTTGCACAGTTCAGTCTTTACAATATCTCGATCGAGTTCGAAGATGAGAAGGATCCGTCGAGAAATG